GTAGGAGGTCAATAACAAGCATGGAGAAGGATGCACATTCATCTTCTCTGTAGGGGGAAACTGGGCATAAAGCTTTATCGCTTTGGCTTCAGATGGCTTCTAACTGGTTTTCTCTTCCCATCTGGCTAGGGCTTCTTTGATTGTTGTTGCTTTTGCCATTCCTCGATTGCTGCTGTCACTCCAGGTTTCCTGTTTGCTTGGTTTTTGCTTTGAAACTAGACCTCTTTGTCTCTCACATACAAGCTCCTTTCTTTCCCCTAGTACTAGTTACTACCGTATCAAACAGCCATCAATAGACTTCCCAACCCCAACTGCGCCTCTCTTAGTTCTCTTAACCCTGACATATCCATTCAACCAGCACTTTTCAAAGACTACAGGGGAATAGTCACGTGCTTAGGGCATGAAATGTTGAAAACATCACAGCCCTGGCCTCCATGCCTCTCAAGGTGTAAGTGAGCTAAGCAGGCAAACAAAGGATTGCAGTAACATATAGTAAGTGTCACACTAGACATATGAGCCTCTTAGGTACTGGTGGGACAAGGTGAGTGTGTTGAAAGGGGGCCAAGTTGTGGGTAAATGAAGGCCTGTGTGGTTTCCAATCAGGATGCTCTAGTAGGCTGAGAGAGGGAGTATTGAGATCATGTGGAAATGGCTTGGACAGAAGGCCAACTCTGCCACTAGGATGGATGTAAGCACGTTATTTCACATATCAGAATTTGTTCCCTCCTTTTCAAAAGAAGAAAGTGCCATGGAAGGGCAAAGAGCAGAGTTAGAGACCATGAAGCCAAAGAAAAAGAGTCTCTGAAACCAGAATGAAGTCCTGGAAATGACTGGGACAATACAGAAAACAACAACACAAAACGAGTCTACTTTCAGTTTAGCAATGTGCTAGATACTGGAATTTCAAAGGCACGCAAGGTCCTATGTTCAAAGAACGCATAGTCTAAGACAAGTCGCATGAGCACTCACCAGAATGTTCTTCCCCCAGGTAGAAAATAATGGCACGATGTACTCCCTCAGGTCTCTGTTTAGCTGTCACCTCATCAGAGAGGCTGATCCTCTCGCTTGATATAAAATAGCACCCACACCACTCCCCCCAACCTTTCATATCCTCCCACTCCACCTTTTATTTTTAACCTTTTTATTCAAGTTTATATTATAAGTATAGTTCACTAACTTTTCACAAACTGAATGCACACAAAACTCCAGCATCCAAATCAAGGAACAGCATTAGCAATGCCCAGAAATACCCATCTTGTCCAGTCTCAACCCTTCCCCCATGGATAACCACCATCCTGATTTCTAACACAATAAATTAGTTTTGCCTATTTTTGTACTTTACATAAATGGAATCACACAGAATGTACTCTTTGGGGATTGACTTCTTTCACTCAACATCAAGTTTGTGCAATTCATTCAGGTGATTGTGTGTCATTTTCATTCATTCATTCTCATTGCTTTATAGTGTTCCGTTGCATGAATATGACACAACTTATTTGTCCATTCAATCATTGATAGGCATTTGGGTGTTTTCAATGTTGAGTTATTAGGAATAAAGCTTCTATGAATATTCCAGTACATATCTTTGGGTGAACATTTCTGTTGGGTATAGACCTTGGAGTGAAATTGCTGGGTCACAGACTTACATTTTTTTAAAAATATTTTAAGAAATTATTAAATCTTTCATGTATTAAAAACAGTGTGTAGATGTGTACTCATAGGTACAGACTTAGAACTTAAGAAATAGAATATTACTGCTATAGTCCATTCAGGTGGCTACAACAGAATACCAGAGATAAGGGGGCTTATAAACAGCAAGCATTTATTTCTCACTTTTAGGGAAGCTGGGAAATCCAAGATCAAGGCACCGACAGATTCAGTGTCTAGGGAGAGCTCACTTTCAGGCTCATGGTTTGCCATCTTTTTGCTGTGTCCTTACATGATGATAGGGGAAAAGAGACTGTGGGGTCTCTTTTATAAGAGCATTAATACCATTCATTAGGGCTCTATCCTTATGACCTAAGCACCTCTAAAAGTCCCCACCTCCAAACACCATCACATTAGGGATTAGGTTTCAACATATGAATTTGAAGGGAAACACAAACATTCAGTCCATAGCAATTATCTATATTTTTAAACTTTTTGTACTTCTCTCTATCTCATCCCCCTCTCTATGCTAATAGTAACCATTATTCCAAATTTTATTATTCCCTGGATCTTTATCATTTTGAGATATATTTCCCTATTGTGAGTATGTGTGTGTATGTGTATGATTTCCCTAAATGATACATTATTTAGTTTTTTATGTTTTTGAACTTGGTGCAAATGGAACTCTGCTTTATTGTTCTTCATAGCACTTCTCACCAATTAACATTTATTTTCTTATTTATGTATTGTCTTGGTCACCCTCTCCCTCACAGCTCCTTGAAAACAAACAAAAATATGTCTTGTTCTTACTATTGTATGTCCAGTTCCAAGAAGAGTGTGTGGTACATAGGAGGTGCTCAGTGAACATTTGGTGAATGAAATAATGAGAAATTTTGCTTTCTATATGACTAGTATGATTCAAGCTCTTTGTGAAAATGAAACAATTCGAATGATGGCTAATAAGCATTGTCCTGCTAAGTGCAAGAAAAATGAGTGCAGGAAATCCAGTAATAGTAAATGTAGATTAAAATAATAGGAAACATAGTTGGCCTGTGGAGCGATGGAAAAAGCATCAGCCTCAGCGTCAGCAAACTTTGACTGGAATCTGGCTCTGACACTTGCCAGCAATGTCCCTCAGAGCAAGGCTCAACCTTTCCGGAGTTTCCATTTCCTGGATTGCGAAACAAAAATACTATTACAGGATATGTAATGTGAAGGTTAGATGAGTTCATGGATCAAATGCTCTGAACAATAAATTATACTATAAACTGTCATCAATACTAAGACCAGGAAAGGCTTTGCAAAATAAACATCTCCACAAAACTCCCTCTTTACATCTTCCTCCAAATTTAAATTTTATATTATAAACATACCTTCTTTTTAAAAGGGCAACTTCTCTAATTAGCTGTCTCCTCAAGCAATAGTACTTTATTATACAACAAATTGTATAATTCAGTTGTTATTATGTTCACAAGGTTGTGCAATCATCATCACTATGTAATTCCAGAACATTTTCATCACCCAAAAGAAACCCCATGCTTATTAGCAGTCACTCTCTATTATCCCCTCTTCCCAGCCCGTGGCAACCGCTAATTTGTTTTCTGTCTAATTTAGATGTAAAGAGAGTCACACAATATGTGGCCTTGTATGTGTCTGATTTCTTTAACTTAGCATAATGTTTTCAATGTTTATTCATGTTGTGACATGTATCAGTACTTCAATCCTTTTTTACAGTGATAATTTGCATTTATGGATATGTCATTTTTTATTTATCTGTTCTTTTTAAAAATATATTTTATTGATTTTTTACAGAGAGGAAGGGAGAGGGACAGAGAGTTAGAAACATCGATGAGAGAGAAACACTGATCAGCTGCCTCCTGCACACTCCCCACTGGGTACGTGCCCGCAACCAAGGTACATGCCCCTGACCGGAATCGAACCCTGGACCCTTGAGTCCGCAGGCCAATGCTCTATCCACTGAGCCAAACCAGTTAGGGCTTATTTATCTATTCTTATGTTTACGGATATTTATATAGTTTCCATTTGGATGGTATTATAAATGATGCTGCTATAAACATTTGAGTATAAGTTTTTGTGTGAACGTATGTTTTCAGTTCTCATAGGTAGCTATCTAGGAGTGGAACTGCTAAGTCATACAATAACTCTGTATTTTATTTTTCCAGGAACAGATGTGTTTTCCACAACAGCAGCACCAATTTACAACCCCACCAGCAATGTATGAGGGCTCCAATTTCTCCACACCCTCTCCCAAGAAGTACTTGTTTTATTTCTAGCATCATCCTTCACTTTACCTACCAACACTGCCTCAGTCACATTAGTATTGCAACAGGTCTAGAAACTATTTAAATTAAAACACAACATTCCTACGTGACACCCATATATTTAAAAAGTGGTCCAGCCCTAGCCTGTTTGGCTCAGCCTGCAGAAGGAAAGGTCTGGGGTTCAATTCCAGTCAAGGGCAGGTACCTCGGTTGCAGGCTCCTCCCTGGCCTGGGGCCCTGGTCGGGGCTCCTGCAATAGGCAACCAATCCATGTGTCATGTCGATATTTCTCTCTGTCTTTCCCTCTCTCTTCCACTCTCTCTAAAAATTAATGGAAAAATATCTTCGGGTGAGGATTTAAAAAAAAAAAAAAAAAGAACTCCAACCTGGCCAGCATGCCTCAATGGTTGAGCATCGACCTGTGAACCAGGAGATCACGGTTCTATACCCGGTCAGGGCACATGCCTGGGCTGCCAGCTCTATCCCCAGTATGGGCTGTACAGGAAGCAGCTAATCAATGACTATCTTTCATCATTGATGTTTCTATCTCTCTCTCCTTCCTTCCTCTCTGAAATAAATAAATAAATAAATTTTTTTTAAAAAAGACTCCAAAGTACTGTTTCTAATTTTTTCTGGCAGAGAGTATTCAGTATTGAAGCTGTGTTGCCCAGTGGGGGATTCAATTCACCATCACAGGGCTCCTCACAGAATCCCAGGAAGAAACAGTTTTGGGAACAAATCCTTGTATTAAACAGAGAGCTGTCTGGAGTAAGGTTAAGGGTGGTAGTTGAATAGCTTTTCACATGCATGTCACGTCCTTTCACTTTATTCTCTTGCTGTGGTCACCCTCGTGGACAGTCTAGCGCAGGCAAAATATCTCTAACGCTCAGCACACAGGGTCCCATTCTCCTCCCTCCGGCCCCGCCCCTCCAGGTCCACTCCTTCGCCAACACTTCACCCTCCCACTCGCGCTCAGGATCAGAGGGGCGGGGACATGGGTGTTAAAGGGGGTCTGCGACCAATCCGCGTGCGTCTGGGAAAGCCAAGCTCCAATCCGCATTCTGGGGGCGGGGCTGAAGTCCGCCGGGCGCAACGCAAGGCAGGAGGAGGAGACACCCTGGTGGAAGCACGTGACCTGGGTCTGGAGCCGGAAGCTTCCAATCTGGTAGGGAGCGCCCCCATCACCTAAGGCAGCGATGGTGAGTGAGGGCGCATGCGCCGGAGGACGCGCTGGGGGCTCCTTCTCCCTGTCCCCCAATCTCTTTAGTTGCCCCTTCCTTGGCCGGCAGTCTGATGTCACCTCCTGTTCGCCCCTGGACGGAGAGGGATTGTTGAGGGCTGAGGAGGGAAGTGTGGGAGGTTGTGGTCTCCGGAGGAGGAGCTGGTCACATGGAGAATTGGAAACGGGGCAGGAGAGAGAGGCCAGTGGGGCTGCGAACGCGTCGGGGGTGGCAACGGTGGGATGTGAAAGAACAAGGGAGCCCAAGAGCAGCGGGTGAGGACACATCGAGGTTCAAGATCAGTGTTGCCCTACCTGGTCTGGCTCAGTGGATAGAGTGTAGGCCCGGACTGAAGGGTCCTAGGTTCGGTTGGGGTCGAGGGCACATGCCCGGGTTGCGGGTTGCGGGTTGCGGGTTGCGGGCCGGAGCCCCAGCAGGGGGCGTGCAGGAGGCAGCCAATCAATGATTCTCTCTCATCATGGATGTTTCTATCGCTCCCTCTCCCTCTCTGAAATCAATAAAAATATATTTTTAAAAAGAAAAAATGCCATTCTTTTAAAATATATATTTATTGATTTCAGAGCGGAAGGGAGAGAAATATCCATGATGAGAGAGAACCATTGGTTCAGGCATGTGCCCTTGACCGAAATCGAACCTGGGACCCTTCAGTCTGCAGGCCGACGCTCTATCCATTGAACCAAACCAGCTAGGGCAAGAAAATACCATTCTTTAAAAAAAAAAAAAAAAAAAATCCGTGTTGAAGGCCATGTAAAGGGAATGGGAAAAGGGTCTGGAATGGCCCTGGCTTGGGAAAAAGAACATCTGGGGCAGGTCATGAGAGACTTGGGTTGCAAGTGAAGAGAATTGAGGCCATCCTCCTAGCAGTGCTTCTGATTGCATCTTTACCCACTAGACTTCTGCACTGACCCACGGGCTGGAGCGAATTCCTGATCAGCTCGGCTACCTGGTGCTGAGCGAAGGCGCAGTGCTGGCGGTGCGTTCTGGGCAAAGGGGGTGTGGGTGGGGGAGTCCCCCCAAGTACACATGGCCCGGTGATTCCTTCTAACATTGCCCAGTTGAGACTAATTTCCCACTATTCTTGGTCATAATTGGTATAGTAAGTTTTTAATAATTAAATCTCTGGAATCTCAGTATGGTAATTTATTCTGAGGTAAAAGGGTTTACTAACTTTACCAAAGTCAGAAGTCAGACAACCAGTTACAAGGTTTGTTGATAACTTGTATTACCCAAGTATTTATTGAAGAGGCTTTGTATTTTGTTCCATAGTACAATGTAGTGTTAGCTCGCTAGAAGTTTTCAATCTAGCTAGAGAGACAGGTCAAAAGCTTAAAGCAATGCCAGTGGTCAAGACAACTGAAAGAGTTCAGAAAATGAAGGATTCAACCCTTAAGGTTATAACTTGTGTTGTGACAAGGAATCCTTGAAGGACAAAAAATTCAGCTGGGCCCTGACCGGTTTGGCTCAGTGGACAGAGCATCGGCCTGTGGACTGAAGGGTCCCAAGTTCGATTCCGGTCAAGGGCATGTACCTTGGTTATGGGCACATCCCCAGTGGGGGGTGTGCAGGAGGCAGCTGATCGATGTTTCTCTCTCATCGATGTTTCTAACTATCCCTCTCCCTTCCTCTCTGTGAAAAATCAATAAAATATATTTTTAAAAAATTCAGCTGGGCTTAAAGGAAGAATGGTTGTGAACAGGCAGAAAAGGAGAGGGCTGAGATCGATATATTTGCAGGAGTGATGCCTGTTTTGATAGTGGGTTTATGTTGAAAAGTTTGGAAAGGTTTGGGGTAAGAAAAGGATGTGTAAGAAAAGTTCTGATTGTGGAGGCTTTTCAAGACTGGGGCAATAGGAGCTTTGAAGGGTTTTTTAACAGAAACATGAGCTGATAAAATAGTTGAGCAAGACTGTTCTATTAGGTGTGAAGGTGGGCTGGAAGGGGTGGAATCCAGAAGGAGGAAGGCTGTTGCAGAAGGAAATCTGTGTATGAGTATGGACTGGTGGCACTGAGAAGGAGCAAGGAGAGAAGAGAATTTAAAGGAAGAATCAATATATCTTCATAATGACTAGAGACAGGTAATAGAGGAGATACTTCTCCATTCAGTACGACTCTGAACTCAAGCCGACAATGATGGTTCCTTTAACAGGAAATTACTAAAGGAAGTTTACTGGGGAATGGGAGCGGTAAGGGGAATTTTGATGGCTTAACTTTAGACATCAAGTTTGACATAAAACAACAGCAGTTAATATGTATTGCTAAGAGCTGTTTTGAGCACCTCACCAATATTATCTCACATAACCCTCAAGAGCCCATATGATAGATGCTATTGTCTCTCATTTACAGATAAGGAAACTGAGGTACAGAGTGTCCAAGAGAGCAAAGGGCACTGAACTTAACCTAGTGGGAGGCTCATCTCGAGGAGGTAGAGAGAAGTTGTGACAGTCACATGAAAAGAGGAAGCCCAGGCCACTGTGATATGATTACCCAAGGGCAATATAATAGGGGCGGGGGGGGGGGGGGCAGGATGTGTTTGTGTCAAGGACAAAAAGGATATTTGTTTCAGATTCTGCAGACAAGGCAACAAGTGGGAAGCCAGGAAAAGATAGAGCTCTGAAAGTCAGTGATGTTTGAGAATGTGGTTTTATCAAATAAATGGCGACAGAGAGAGAAATCAAGTTTCAAGGGATTCGAAAAGAATGGTCAGTAAAGAAATGGATGAGTCACAGCTTACCGGGGGAAGCCCAGTATAAGCATGAGAACCAGTATGACATCTAGAAGGGCAACAACATCATAGGAAAGTTTTAGGTTTGTTTCCAAAACGGGTGACCTCGAGGGTACTAGGAAATGGAGAGGAAGAGGGTACCAATGCCAGAGCCAAAGTGGTTCCTGAAATTCTTTCCCAATTCTGTTCCCTAATTTCTGCCATCCTCCCGCCCTGTCCGCATGCAGTCATCTGGGGATCTAGAGAATGATGAGCAGGCAGCCAGCGCCATCTCTGAGCTGGTCAGCACAGCCTGCGGCTTCCGGCTACACCACGGCATGAACGTACCCTTCAAGCGCCTGTCGGGTGAGCCCCATCCCCTGCCCCTACTGGTGGTGATAGGAAGTAGGGTGCTCCCAGAGGTGGGGTGCTGTCCTCAGGGAAAAAGCACTGGTCTCCTATCAACCTCCCACCATCTCCCCCTGGGGTCCCTGGTTCTGGCCACTTTCTTCTCTTTGGGATTCACCCCTGCATCAGAAGTATGAGAAAGTAAGAGAAGGGTATTGAATGCAGACGCCCCATCTCCAGATCTCTGAGCGTCAAACCATCTCATTTCTTTGGCTCTTGATCCCAGCCAGTTTGTGTATGACCCCGTGGAGGCCATCACACCCCACTAACTCTGTGTTCCCTTCCCTCTCCCGGGGTTTGGGAAGGTGTGTCTCCCCTCCAGTGGTCTTTGGAGAACACACGCTGCTGGTGACCGTGTCAGGACAGAGGGTGTTTGTGGTGAAGAGGCAGAACCGAGGCCGGGAGCCCATTGACGTCTGAGCCTGCCAAGGGTGAGGGAAGAGGTGGATTGGGTCCGTGAACCTCTGTGATGAGGAAGATGCAACCTCCTCTTTCTCGGCCTGATGCCAGACCTAAGGCTCTCTGCTCACCCTCTCCCCCACACCCCATCACCTGAAAGGGCAGAGGCTTGGAGACTCTGCGTTGTGTTAAGAAGAGGGAGGACAAGGGGGCCTCCCTCTCTCCTAATAAACATGTCTGCTGTCCCCAGACCCAGGGATGTGTGTATGGGGGTTGGGAGGTGCTACACCCATGTCTTCTGCCTTTTAAGAGGAAAGTCATGTAATTCAGCCCAAACTGGTGGAGCTAGGCTATCTCTGAGCATATCAAACTGAGAATCAAAAGAAAAAAAATGGGGGAAGGGAGCAGACAGGAGCTATTTGGTATGCATGCTGAAGGGAATCATTCTGAGCTCTGGTCTCTGCTCCTTCCACCAACACACAAACAACAGTCATTCTCCCTCCTCAACAGGCATTTAATAGACTTATTTCGGTTGGAAGCAGTAGTTGGAGAATAAGTTACAGGGACAGACAAAAAACAAAAACAAAACCCACACAACTTAAAGTGCTTCAGGCTGCAAACGTAAACATGAGGGGCAGGAGGAGGCCACCTAGCTATCTCCCCTCACCCCTGAGACAGGAGGGTCATTGTCTGGGTCCCTTTACCATCACCACCCTCGAATCTCAGCCCTCAGGAGGGGGGAGGGGGGATTTCAGAGGCAGGAAAGACAACTTAATAGGAATGAGAAAACACTTTGTAAACTTAGAACCAGGGAGCAAGGCGGGGAAACAAGGGAGCTCTTGGAACCCTTGCCCTGACCAAGGGGTGGGACCAGCCCTCCCAGGAAGTCAGGGAAATACTGTTGGTTTAGTGCTGCAGCCACACCCGCCCATTTCACAGCTTTTCCCTCAGCAGACACAGACAGGCTGCGGCCTCCTCACCCACAGTGGGAGGCATCCCTAAGGAGGCACAGTCTGGAACAAGGACCCCCTCCAGAGGCATTCGATTTCTGGGAGTATAAGAGCTGGCAAAGTGCTACTTTACAGGCTCCACCACCAGGACTTTGCACTCGCGCTTGGCAATCTTGTCCAGAGAGAGCACAGCCTTTTCTGGGGGCAGGTAGAGGGGGCGGCCGACTGGGGAGGCCACAGGGGGTGTGATGGCCCTGCGCTCCATCACACTGCCGGACCTGGAGGAAGGCAGAGAACGTGGGCTCTAGTTAGACCTCAGGACCGCTTCCTGCTCCCGCTCCAACTCCAGCCTCTACCGAGTCCAGTGGCTCCCCTCCCTCGGTTCCATACCTCATGAGGTGGCTGCGGGAAGGCTGTTGGTGAGAGAAGGACTGAGAGCGGCCCAGGCTAGCCTGGTGCCTCTCCACCAAGTCCCGGACAGCTGGGCTGCTGGGACTGCTCTTTCGGGAGAGGGGCCGGGCCTCGGGTGGAGGGTGGGACACACTAGCAGTGAATTGTAGCTTCAGTTTCATGTGCTGGCTCAGCTGGGGTGGAAAGACACAGATCAGCATTCCCACTTGGCTTCCAGGCCCCAGACCTCCTTTCAAATCACCTTTCCCCTTGGCAGACCAATACTGGATCTAAATTCCACCTTCCTGTAGCCTGGCTTTAGTGCCATCCATTGCATTTCCTCTCCAGCAGCTAGCAGCCCTGATGCCTCCTATCCCAACATTCTGCATCACCCACCACACCGTCCACCCCCTCTCCAGTGGGCACCTCCCCAACCCACCTCAAAGAGCCCTGTCCTTAGAGCCTGGAAGGCTACACTGAAGGTGAGTGCACTGCCCTTCCGGGAAAAGCCAAGGTTGTTGAGGGGCGTGTGGCAGACGATGGAGTCTAGGGCAGCCTGCATGGCCCGACGGTCCTCCTCACACAGCTGCTTTCCTGGGGGGCAGAGACAGCGACCAGTAAACATCTGTATAGTGTTCCTCAGCGAGGGGCTTCCAGGAGCACAGTCTTGATTGATCTTCAAAGTCACCCTGTGGAGTAAACTGAGTATATCTTTTGCCAAATGTTATAAATAACAGCTGATATTTATTGTGTGCTGGGGTCTATTCTAACCACTTCATATTCATTAAATCTTTAAATCACCATAACATCCTCATGGTGGGGGAGGGGGGGAGAGCAGTATTATTTTCTCCTTTTTAGGGATGAGGGAGCTGAGGTTCAGAGAGGGTAAGTAACCACCCAGGGTCACACAGCTTGTAAATGATGGAGGTAGAAATCAAACATACCAGGGAGCTAGCTTCGGTGCCAGTGCTCTTAAATCATCCTACCTCGCTGCCTCTCTAAATTTTCTGTCTGTGACACGAGCCAAAGCAGCCTGCCGCATGTCACCCACCTCCATGACTTCTTCCTTTCCCCTCCCCTCCTTCGGGACAAAGGCCCAGCCTGGCAGCACCCTACCAGCCTGTGCGTGCTCCGGGGTCCACACGAGCCTCACAGCAAGGAAGTCTTGGAGATTGTTGAGCAGCGTGTAAGTCACCGTGAAACGCTCATAGGTCCGAACTGGGGACTCACAAGAAGCAGTCATCACAAAGCACGGGCGGTCCAGGCGAATGCTGGGCAGGCTAGAAGCAGGGAGAGGGAAGCAGGATGTATGTGTTTTGAAACAAAGGTGAACAGGGTGGTCCCACCAAAGGTTCCCACACACTCACCGGTAGTGGGTGTAGATGCTCTGGGTGAAGGGCAGCTTTGGGGTGGACCACTGAACCACAGCAATCAAGGGGACTTCTAGGCCCTACGGGAGGAGCAGAGGGAAGCATCATGGGTAACAGAGATCCCCTCTCATCTTCAGGTAACACCCTAGCCTTTCCCTCCTACTGCTTTTTCATTTTTTTGTTAATCCTCACCCGAGGATATTTTTCCATTAATTTTTAGAGCGACTGGAAGGGAGGGGGAAAGAGAGAGAGAAACATCGATGTGGGTTGTTTCCCACATGAGCCCCGACCAGGGCCGGGGATTGAGCCTGCAAACAAAGTATGTGCCCTTGCCCGGAATCGAACTCAGGACCCTTCAGTCCACCAAGCTAAACCAGCTAGGGCCCACTGCTTTTGCTTTTGCTTTTTTAAAATATATTTTATTGATTTTTCACAGAGAGGAAGGGAGAGGGATACAGAGCCAGAAACATCAATGAGAGAGAAACATCGATTCAGTTGCCTCCTGCACACCCCCCCACTGGGGACGCGCCCGCAACCCAGGTACATGCCCTTGACCGGAATCGAGCCTGGAACCCTTCAGTCCGCAGGCCGACGCTCCATCCGCTGAGCCAAACCGGTCAGGGCCCACTGCTTTTTCTTAACCTGTTTCCTTGAAATCACCAGCCCCTTATACTCACCTCCTTGGCCCCTGGAGGTGGCTGCTCACCCACTCGCAGCTGAAACAGGAAGTTGTGTTCCTCTAGGGCACTGAGTGGGCAGGGGAAGCAGCCAGAGGTACCAGGAAGCCGACAGAAGGAGCCCATGGAGACCTCCCCAGATTGGTGACTAGTTCAGAAGAAAGGGGACAGAGCTGAGTCTTTCCAGGCCAGAGCTCTCAGCCCTGCCCCCAGCCCCACCACTCCGCAGCCCTGCCCCTTCCCAGGACCTCACCAGACATTGTCCACCAGCAGCACAGAGCCATCGGGCATGACAGGTAGATAACTGGCATTGAAGTTTGGGAGAATACGAATATCCCAGATGGAAATTTCCTCTTGGGAAGAGCTGTTCAGCACTGTCCAAGGTAACCAGCGCAGTGATTATCTGGACCCCTCAGATCCCACCTTAATCCCCCAAAATGAACCTTTCCCCCCCAGTCTGCACAGGGTAACTGCCACCCAGTCATTGCCCTTGCTGCTACCCAAGACCTTAGCCACCAATCTGCTCACCCTTGAGAACAGTCAAGTGTTTTCCAGCCACAGTGAACTGCCGGCATTTCAGAACTGGAGGGGGCAGCAGAGTCAGCAGGGTGCTCACTGCGGGAGAGGGCAGGAGCAAGAGCAAGAACGGATGGGCTGGGCCTGGGCACAGACCACCTCCAACCCACAGTTCTAACATTCCTCTGAATGCCGCTCCAGCATTTCTCCCTGTGTTCTCCCCACCTTGGGGCCTTGAAAGCGCTCTGCTCTCCCCGGAAGGTCTCCCCAGGAAATCGGGTCTGCAGCAAGCGCAGGTAGCCTTGATCTCTGACCTCTGGTGCCTCAACCTCCCGCTTCCACACAGTTACTACAATCTGAGCAAAGGGACACAGGGCCACAGTCAAGAGGAGAGGTAGCCAGCCTCAGAGAGGACATCTGAGTGAGGAGAAGAGTTTCACCCCTTGCCAATCTTACCTTGGCCTTAGGTGTCCCGGGGGGCAGTCTATCCAGGGAAACAGTGAGTGGGAAGATGACCTCATCTGTGGACACAATTGGCTCTTCCACAGGCAGCTAGGGGTGTGAAAGGGGTGCAGAGGTCAGGAGAGGGGCGGTTCCCTTTCAGAGGTGCCCAGTTCCCTCCTCACCCATCATCTGCCCCCAGCTTCCCCCCGATGTCCCCCTCCTCTCCGGTCTTTGGAGCCCAGCAAGTCACCCCTGGTCCTCACCGTGGTCACTCCCCCTGAGGTAGCAGGGCCCGGGCCCGTGGGTGAGAAGGGGGGCTGCAGCCGCGAAACAACCCCCCACCGCCCGGATCCCCGCCCCTGGGGGTTCGGGATCCTGGTCGCCGGGGCCACCGCCGGCGCTGACCGAGGCCAGGGCTGCCAGGGCGGTGGCCAGTTCTGCCCAGGCCCCTCGGGAGCCCAAGCCCGGGCCACCCCCGGCGCCGGAGCCCGCGCCCCCCCGGCAGCGAAGCACCAGCAGGAAGCGGACGGTCTCCCCCAGGTAGAGGTGGTTGCGCCGGGGCAGCGCCCGGTACCGGCCCGGGTCCCCCGCCAGCTCGGCGCGCGGCGGCAGCGGCACGGCCGGGAAGTACATCGAGTAGTCGCACTGGGACTCCATGGGGGCGAGGGCTGCACGGCCCGGCGGGGAGTCCCGGCACCCGCCGGCCCAGAGACCCCCGGGGCCGGGAACCCGGACCACGAACCCGGAACCGAGACCCCGCGGGGCCGGAGCCGGGCGCCCGGAGAATGACTGGAGAAAAGCCGGAAGCGGAAGGGAAGGGGCGTGGCCTGGGGCCCGGGAATCGGTGAGTGACGGGACCCTGGAGGAGAGGGGCGGGGTTCGGCGGCCGCTAGATTGCAGCAAG